GGAGTCTCCCCGTGTACGAAGCGCCCCGCGCAAAGTTCTGGGCGAAGCTGCAGGAAGCTGTTGTTCATGCTGTGGGCGGGTTGGGTGTGCCGCCGGGGAAGATTGTGTTGCTGGGGAGTCATGGTCAAGATAAGGAGTTTGGGGTGCAGGTGGAGCAGGCGCTGTGGAGGGAGTTGGAGGTTGATGTTGGAGCGCTGCTTGGGGGACGGGGTGGGAAGAAGGAGAGTGAGTGGTTGGCTGCGAGGGGGGCGGCGGGGCTGGGATGGCGGAGTCAGAATCGGAGGTGAAATGTTTTTTTTGTGTATTTGGGAGTTGGGAGTTTGGGGCAAAAGTATGTGTGCGAGTAACAAAGATACCCATAATTTATATCGTCATGAACGGAGTCATATTCATTCCCTTGGCCTGAATGCAAATTAGGTTATGTTTTATTCGACTTCGACAACAACCTTTTACTTTCCTCGGGCGCAGCCTTTAATCTAGTCCCCAGAGTGTTACATACATGGGCCTGCCCATGTACAACCAGACTGGAGTTCTTTCACTAAAGACCTTGTCCTTCCCCTCAATCACCTCTTCTCCTCACAGCTTCAGTATCGAAGCACGCGATGTACGCATCTCCGAGCTGGTCACGAGCCTGTTTTCATCTCAGCTTACCCACAACTCGGTGGCCGAGATGTTCCTCTGCTGTATACGCAGTTTCGCAATGCTTGTCTTGTTTGGCGGTGCCAGAGAGAACAAGCGCGTCGTCTCCGGCAGCGTGGTATAGGTAGTTCCTTGCTAACCGTCAACGTGGTATTCCGTTGTTATGGCTTGTCTCGGCTTGAGGTCTTGCCTAACGGTAACAGCAGTAGTGACTCTGAACATATTTTCCTTTCGAACGTTTCCTCTACTTTGTAGTTTCAGCGAACCAGCAGTACCGTTACTATTAGCGTCATAGCGTACAAACACTGCGTCAGGGCTCTTTCGTTCGCGTACAGACACTTGGTCAGGAAGCCGATATGCTCCATCCCAGCAATTCTTTCTTCTTCGTACTCGGCGATGAGTTCGGAAGCCTGGTCCAGCCAGGCTTGTTGTTCATTACATTTGGCTTCCCACGCTGCGATTTGGCCATCGTAGAATTCGGTGAGCTCGTCGAGGACGCCTACTAGAGGTCCGGGAGATGATGGTGGTGGTGGTGAAGGCTTTGGAGCATTCGCGCCTAGCTTTCTTGGTGGTTCGTCGAAGGCGCTTACTAAGGGGTGGGGAGATGGTAGCGGTTTGGGGGTGGACACGCACAGCGTGTTGCCTAGTTTTCTTGGTGAATCCACGAAGGGGCTTATGAAGGGTTGAGGAGATGGTAGATATTTGGGGGTATACACGCACAGCGTGTTACGCTGATTACGTATCTTTCTTGATGATATGGTCATGGTAGTGGTGGATGACATGGTGGTATTGCTGTGCGAATTTTGGCTCAGACTGCTGTGAATGTAGTGGTTTGCTTAGAGAGTTAGTGAGAATGTTTGCTTGAAAATACTTATATTCAATGTCCAGGTGAGGTCACGATGTGTGATATGGGTCGATGACTATGGATCGTTGGCATTGTGAAATAACGGTATAGACTCTGCTTGCACAACTTAGAGCACATGCCACTTCGGATGTTTCGGCGCAATTTCGCGCAAACGTGGATGTTCTGTGTATAGGTGTGGTGGGTGAGGCGGCTGACGGAGGGCTGTTCACATGTCGAGGCACGCGTCGGTTTTAGCGCGGCGGTTGCGTCAGTGCTCCGAATGCTGATCGGAAATATACCGCCCTAGAACAACAAGGAACAACATCCATCCTCAGGCTGCCACCGCGTCCACGCCAGCTGTCTTCTTCACATGAACACGTGAGGAACGGAATACGCGCTAGCACCATGATATGATGGGATTCTCCCACGACTGCTTCTCTTGAAAGTTGCAGCTCACGCCCACACCAAACCACGCCAGACGTCATGGCAGGCAACGAGCCCACACTATCGTCTCGCGCGAACCAGTACGTTCGTGAGGTCCTGCACAACACCGAAGCCCCGCCCACGATCCCCGTCCGCTACTTCTACACGTCGCCGCTCGCTATAGACGACCCGCTGTCTCCGCTCCCGCCGCCGCCCACGGGCACCTCGACTGCGAAGAGAGTGCCACCGCGGCCCTTCTCCGAATACGACAACGAAGCCATCCAGGAGTCGTGGCTGGAGCTGCGCAAGAAGATCCTGAAGCACACCGAGGAGTTTGGGGAGAAAGATGCGACGGGACGCGGGACGCCGACCAATCCGGCGGTGGAGCGGCTGAAGAGGAAGAGAGGCGCTAGTGCTTCGAGCGAGGAAGGCTCGATCCAGGGACGAGACATTCCATCCGGACGGTCCTCGAGCAGAGGGCAGTACTCGAGGTCTGCCGAGCTGGTGGACAAGAAGACACCCGGCTCGGGTGGTGGCAGCTACGGCCAGTCCATGTCTGGCTCGCTGAAGGCCTACGACCCCGGCCCAATATCGCCCCTCGAGCCTGCGACGACCGGCACCCCATTCATCCGAGCCCCATCGAGAGGGAATCTTGCCAAGTCGTGGAAGCCTGCGCCTATGGAGGGAGGCCATCGGCCGACTATACACGAAGTGGACAGCTACAAGTGGGATGACGACATGGAACCTGCTCTGTCGACGGCCAAAGACAAGGCGCCCGCGCGAAGGTCCTCCAAGCCGAAACCAGGGCCATCCGCGAAGGTGCCCGTGGGAGTCTCAAGACTGCATCACGTAGTCATGGACACAGAGTCAATACGGATGGAGCCTATATACTGGTCGCCGCTTAGCGATGTCGCCCAGATAGTGCGAGGAACGTGGTTCTACAAGGACAGCATGATGCCCGTCGAGGTCGAAGTCGCCAACATGCTCGAAGCTGGGTACATCGAACTGAGACCCTGGACGCAGACGTGGACGGACGAGCTCAACAGCGCTGTTGAAGTCGGTGCATTTGGCGAGATGAAGATACTACACCACCTCTGGCCCGAACGGCCGAAGAGAGCAGAGAGCAGGCCGTCGACTTCGCAGCAGATGATGCAAACGGCAGGTCTCGTTCAAAGCACTCTCCCCGAAGAGGATGACGATCCGGAGAAGGAGCGCAAAGAAACCGTGGAGAATGCCTGCGACTTGATCGACATCTCCACAGGTCCAGAGGGGCCAGATCACAAAGCAGCGGGTGATTTGGAGTACGGTGCCGATGGAAGAAAGCGTCTATATCTCAAAGCGGGCGTGATATACTCTAACGACAAGGAAGCCTTCATCCTCAAGCCAGCACTCCAACCATCAGACTACTACGGGCGGCGACCGCTAGCAAACTACATCCGCAAGGGCAGAGCGATCGGCGTCCACGTAGTGCGCGGTTTCGACCAGGCCGTCTGGGACAAGATACATCCGAACAAAAACACACCAAAGGCACAGGCAGCACGGGAAGGCGTCTCGTCATCGCAAGGTGGCACGCCTCAGTATCGAAGGCAGAAGTCGGACCCCGACCTCGCGCAGTCAGAACGACCCAAGGTGTCAGACCTGGTGTTGGTCATACATGGTATTGGGCAGAAGCTATCAGAACGAATGGAGACATTTCATTTCACGCACGCGATGAACGCCTTTCGAAGAGAGATGAACGTCGAACTTGGGACTCCGGATGTCAAGCGGCACCTGCGAAAGGATATGGGAGGTGTCATGTGTCTGCCAGTAGGTCATCGTCGCTGTGATTCTCGATCAACATACTAACACAAGGCAGGTCAATTGGCGACACCGCGTATCTCTCGACGTCGATAATACCGAGGCTCCCGAGCTTGAAGACCCATCTGCGAACAAATATACACTCAAAGACATCACACCCGATACGCTCCCCTCCGTACGTGGTATTGTTAGCGATGTCATGCTCGACATCCCATACTACCTCTCGCCGATGCACAACCCCAAGATGATATCAGCTTGCATAACAGAGGCGAACCGCATCTATCGCCTCTGGTGTAACAACAACCCCGGGTTCGCAGAGTACGGCCGAGTGCACTTGATCGCCCATTCGCTTGGCTCAGTAATGGCCATCGACATCCTAAGCCAACAACCAACCTATGTCGATCCGCAATTCACCGACCCATCCTTCCCCGAAGCCGACCTACCCCAAGACCAATTCATCTTCAACACAACCGATCTCTTCGTTTGCGGCAGCCCAGTCGGCCTCTTCCTCCTCATGAAAAACGCAAACCTACTCCCTCGTCGCGACAAAGAGAAACCTGGCGCCGACTCCTACGCCGCCCCCGGTATCGCAGGTGAGCAAGGCACATATGGCTGCCTAGCCGTCGACAACATCTACAACATCATCAACCCCTACGACCCCGTTGCCTGCCGCATAAACCCCACCGTCGACGTCGTCTACGCTTCAATGCTCAAACAAACCACCATCCCCTCCGCCTCAACCTCCTACTTCGCCTCGCTCAACCCCTTCCGCTCGTCCACCTCCTCCGCCAACAACGCCGCAAACGACAGACCCACCACTATCCGTCTACCCAGCAACGTCGAGCTCGAAACGCACAATTTCACGCGCGAGGAGATTGCGGAGAAGAGAGCTTATCTGCTTAACGATAATGGTCAGATCGATTATTATATGAAGTACGGTGGTGGGCCGCTGGAGATACAGTATCTGACTATGCTGGGCGCGCATAGCAGTTATTGGCTTAGTAAGGACTTTGTTAGGATGATTGTTGTGGAGGTGGGGAGGGGGTTGGGGAAGGAGGGTACGGTTAGGGAGATGAGGGCGCAGAAGAAGAAGATTGCTGTTGGGGGTGCGACGTAGTGGTCTTATTGTTGATGGAGGGGGTTAAGTGGATGATGGCATTATGGTATCGGAGTTTGTGTTTGTTGACACTTTCAGAAGTTATACCCCGTTTTATACACAATTTGGAAGGAGTTGGAAGTAGTATTCGTTTAATTCAGATTAAAGCTATCTGGCACTCCGCGGTTCCTCAACGTCTTCTCACACAAAACCCGCGTCTAAACACAACTCGCGCGACGCAAATTTATGGTGCTGCTCCTGCGCCTCGTCTTCCCAATCAATCTCCACCTCTTTCCCTGCATGCATGGTCGCGAAAGCGCTGCGACGGGATTTAAGCCAGCTTGTATGCGTCGTATCGAGTACCATGGCCACTCGATCGGCGATGGATCTATCGTTTGTACTTTCGTCGGAGGGGCCCTTCAACGTAGGTCCTAGCGCGAAGATAGGCTCGGGGTCATCGATGAAGCCAACGTGCTTCAGAATCGCGTGCATGGTGGATCGTCGGAGCGATTCACCGGGTGCGCACCATGAGTTCTTTCCTAGGGCTTCTATGTCTGCCTCCCAGCCTGGCGCCTGGAGTCTATGTCGCACTGCGATGTTCAAAACGGCGCGATACCACAAATACATCTTCTTTGGCCGGTTGTTGTTTGCAAACTGCAGAATCCTGCCATCGAGCTGTGCAGGGGCAAGAGGCCAAGTTCGGTGTGTCAAGTCGCCAACCCCATTCCTCACTTTTGGGTCCAGCACTCGTATCTTATACGGGTCTTTGTCGGTTTCTTGTACTGTCTTGCCGGTCTCGGGGTCGGTGTCACCCACACGAGCAGGAACGATGATGATCTGAGCTGTGTTGAGCATACGCTTGAACTCGAAGCCAAGAAAGAGGCCGTTTGATGGGTCCATCAAGTGGCCGCGTGTACTTTCTGTTTTGCCGAAAAGATAGTCACAAGCATGGTCGCCCGTGTTGTAGTGCACTAGGTGGATAGCCCCGGTGTCATGTGGCCACGGGTGTACACCTGTGCGTTGCCACGCGATAGGGCACCAGACGTGAAGCCATAAGCGGATATTTTCAGTGAAGTTGCTGCCGCCATAGTAGTCACTGGCATCTTTGTCAAACCTCTCTGGCGCATCGACATCGCGGCCGTCGGGGCCTTTGTACCATGTTTTGTGGACCTGGGGTGACTGGTACGGCTTTATCAAGCGCTGGATCATGGAGTTGGTATACGCCAAATCAATGGCATCAGCATGCTGATGTGCGTCAATGTATTCTCCTTTCATCTGGTTCTTGAAGTCCCTCAGTATGACCAGTAGCTTTCTGAGGTTGGCGGTAGTTGTCTCAGCCTGCACTATCAAAGGCAGTGTTTCTGACTTTGGCATGTTTCCATGTTTCTCGGTTATCTGCCATTGCCGGATGGAGAAGGAATGCGCGTCAATCTCTGCACTGAGCTTGTTGGTGATGTCGCTGTGCCAGGTTTGGTATTGGTGCTCGATTGCTTTCTCCCATTCGTCCTGTGCCATTTTATACGTCCTCTCCAAGGTCTTTGGGATTGACCATGTATCGAAATGATGATCGCTCGAGCTCTTTGCAGCCTCTAGTAACTTGCTAAGTTCGACATGAGCGGTCAAAGATAGCCACATCTTCCTTCGAAGCTTGGTGGTTGCTGGTGACGCAAATCTATCAAGGTTCAGAACGCCTATGAGCGCAACGTTGACCGTTTGTGATGAATCTGAGTCGCTTGCTGAGTCGTAATGACGTGTCTCTTGCACTTTCGCTTCCTGTTCCGTCTTGAGACTTAGCTCTTCTTCTTGCGCCTGAAGCCGCTGCTTCTGTTTCTTGTTCAATTTTGGCATTCTGGGCTCTCTTTGGTGGGCCATAACGGAATATTGGTTTGAGGTGCTGTGGTGTAAGATGGTGTTAAAGTTCGGGTTTCGAGTATGGCGAGTATTGCTACCTCTTAGAATAAAACAAAGAAGAGTGAGTAACATCGAATTGTGAGTCACGTAGATGCAAAAAGACGTGGTTCGCAGGGCGAGCATGACTGGAAACTAGAAGCGACCACGGTACGCATCAGTGAGAACCCTTGGATGACGAGCCACTAACAGTCATCGCAATACAAGCGACCAAAACAACGTGACTCGCCGTTCAATGAGCGTTTTGATGCGACAAGACTCAATGTATCCGCGCGGCGCGAGGGGCTTTTTCAATGACAAGATAGAGCTAAATACTTTTCAAGTCATCACATCCATCCATCACACACCCCAACCTACTGCCCCAACAATATCTTCATAGTCTCGACCCCCACGCCCAGTACCTCCTGACTCCTACTCCCTTGTAACACACCCTTCAACTCCTCCACCACACCCTTCTTCTTACAAACCTCCACCCCCTCCTTAACATCCACCACACTCCTTAGACAAACAATCCCTCGATACCTAATACCTTCATCTTCATCCTGGCACAACCCCACAAGCCACTCCACACTCTTATCCTGCTTGAGGAACTCGAGAACCGCAAGATCCACACTCAGCAACATCGCCAGCGCACCTCCAGCTGCTGATCTCGTCGCGGCATCATCGACATCCGTCATAGCGAGCAGGAGATGGAGTCTATGTTTCGCCCGCGGCGAACCATCCGCGAAGTTCGAGATACAAACAGGTGAAGCCATGAGATTACAAAGGAGTTCCGTAGCCGCACGCCGAATCATCGTGTTGGAACTAAGTAACAAATCATCAACCACCGTGTCGAAAGACTGGCGGATGATATGGTCCTGTGTATTCCTATCCAGAGAAGCGAGGTTCGTGAGTGCGAGGAGCGCTTCAAAAGCGTGCAGTTGCCAGGTCGTAGACTCAGTCCGTGTGAGTTGGCTGAGGAGGGGGCGAATGGCGGATGCGCTGGGGAGTGCGGCGTTGAAAGCGTGAGACGGGTTTATGCTGATGAGGAGCCGGGAGAGGGCTTGGGCTGTTGTGGGGAGGGCGGCGGGAGGGAAGGGTGTGGTGCCGGTTGTTGAGAGGTCGTTGGTCGAGGAGATGTGGTCGTAGATCTGGATGAGCAGTTTTACTGCGCCTTGTTGTGCCATTGTGCCGCGCGATTTGGTGTCTTTGGAGAGGGAGAGTAGGATTAGACTGCTTTGGGTGAGGATGGATGGGGAGCCCTTTTTGCAGACTTGCACCAGCAGAGGGACAACGCCGGCGTCTAGTACGCGCTTGCAGCGTATGGCGACGTCTTCGTCGTTGAGGAGAACGTGCGGGGTCGATGGCTTTTGCACGTTGGCGTAGGCTTTGAGCTGTGCCATGCGCTTTTCCTCTTCGGATTGTAAGGGCAGGTATTGTGTGATGTTGACGAAGATGGTCAGGCCACCGAATACGATGTTCTTGGGTGATGAAGGGTCGCTCATGGTTTCGATGAGGCGTTTGAGGAACTTTGGTGATTTGGAGAGATCTTCTCGTACTTTGGGTTGGAGCGAGGCGTAAGCGAGTCCTTCGACTGAGTCTTGCTTTGAAGATGTGTCGCCGCCTATGACCATGGACTTGAAGCTGGCGATTAGGTCGCTTTGGTCTACCTTTTCTGCCCTCACGATTCTTGGTGCATCCTCAGACGGTTGCTCTTCGCCTAGTTTGACGAGGACAAGCGCGGCCAAGTTGGCACGCTTCTTGTTCTGGCTTTCTGCGACAACATCTTCCAGCCATTCTCTGCAGTTCTTGCTGATCGCCTCTCGACAGTTCTTGTCAACGCAGGCAGCGCTGATTAACTCCAGAGTAGCTTGCTCCAGGTTGTGCGACTTCTTGCTTTGAACTCTTGACACCAACGTGCTGACAAAGCCGTCTGTGAGAAAGAGCGCAGCAGCAGCTGTGACAGCGACCGGAAAGATAGCTGCAGCCGCCGAAAAAGCGATAACAAGATCGTTCGCTTCCCCCTTTTTCGTCCGATGCGTAACAAACTTCGAGATCAACTCGCTAGCAGTCTCCGGCGCAAGCTCAAACAACTTGATACTCGCAAGAGTAGCCTGACTACGCAGACTAGCAGGCAGACGAATATCGAGCGAAGTGAGGATAACATCGAAACTGTCCGCATCGATAATGCCCTTAAGATGCTCCGCGTAATGAGCAAGCAGCTGCGCAATCCCCTTCATCGCACGTTCAGGATGCTCAAGCGCCTCCTCCATCATCATCGCCAAACTGAGCATGAAAATATCTCTATGCCCCGTCTTGAATGATTCGTCGTCGGGCCAGACCGCCCGGTTGAGACAGACTTTGAGTAAGCCGTCGATGGAATCGTCGCCCCGCTCGAACATCTCGTAGTAAATGCGTGTCGGCTGCTCGCGGATGGCTTTGGCGACCCACATCTGGGCTCCGGGGTTCTGGAGTAGTTCGCCTGAAACCTGGTCGAGGATGTCGTCTTCGCCTTTGAAGTCGAAGAGGATGGCCATTGCTTGTTCTGCTTCGTCCTGCTTCAGGCCATGGGTCCGGATCGCTTTGAGTGCCTTTTCGCCATCGTGTTCGTCTTTGCTGATGACCCAGGCTCGACAGTGGCCCAGTAGTTCGCTCTTTCCCTCCTCTTCTTTCAGTGCGACCCATGCCTCTTTGATCCGCGGATGCTCGGGTGCGATCGTACTAGCTTCACGCAGGTACCGGGCTGCAGCGGTTAAATCGCCTGATTTGGTGCTCTCACTTGCCTTCTCGGCAAGTTGCACCGCTCTGTCTTCTTCAGATGTGGAGGACATTGTTAAATGTTTGATGGAAGAAGATCACTCCAGAGTGGTGACCTTTCGAGTTCATGGATGCCCACGTGTCACGGGGCCTGGAACGATTTGATGGACGACGCACGGGCCTCTGCGGAGCTGTTTAGTGGAGCGCGGGGAGGTTGATCATCACTACAGCAGGAGCAACCTTGAAATGTTCCCTTTTGATAACACACCAACTCTATGTGCCTATAGATCCTACGCGTGCTCTCTATGCAAACCTAGTGAAGACCTCGAGAAAGGAGACTTCCACCTCCGCCCCTCCTCCACCCCGCCGCCTCCCCTCCGCCTCCCCCACCCACCCAGGTTGATCATCCCTTCCAAGTTCAGCCCTGGAAAGAAGTAATAGAGTGCGCCTCTGACTCAGACTGCGGTCTGGTCCTAGGTTAGGCTTAGTCTTTGAGATCGTACTCTGGTATACAGGATGATTGTAATAGCCTTGATCAGTTCAGCCCTAGAGCTTTCAGCAGCTATGTCAAAGTGCTCGTATCGTCATGATTCGCCTGCAATGATGACTGTGACTGGTACTTTGGGCCATGGATGTCAAGGTGTCGTCACTGCATCAAATTGCGTCCAGAAGGTAGTATGCAAAGACTATTCTTGATTACCAAATGCACCTCATCCCGTCATTAAAAGATCTAATCCTCGCTTTCCCGCAGTGAAGCGTGTGCGAGGTCCAAAAATATATACCTACGCCTCGAAGATGCTCAAGTATAAATGCTTCGCGAACGAGAAACAATGAGACCGACCACTCTGAAATGATCATACAAAACGCCATGCCAAAACGCTATGCAAAACGTGCGCCAATACCCAACCGACCTCCCATGTCCTTGCGACTCCATGCTCACATGTTCTGATACACCACCACCCTACTTCCCCTCATCAACCGCCGTATCCGCCCTCTTCCTCTGAATAACGCCCAAAAACAGCAACCTCTCCCAAACATCATCCTTAACCAGCACCCTCGTCTTATCAAACGGCAGCCCATCCAACTCCCTCAGACTCCTACAAAGATTCGCCAACATCATCTCAGTAACCCGACGCCTAATCCGGGTCTCGTAGTCCAATCGCTGCAAGTGCTGGACATCGGCTTCGACTTCGCCCTCAGGCAATACAAAGCGGTTGGTGAGTTGCTCGTCGGAGGGTTTCTGCCGGAGAGACAGGATGCGGTTTTCGCACGTGGGGGCGTAGAAGCGGAGGGTGAGGGGGTTGTCGCGCCAGTCGAGGGTGGAGAGCGTGGGGAGCTTGCCGAGGACCATGGCGTTGGCGCGCAGACGCTCGAGTTTGTTGCCGGCAAGGAGGAGGGTGCTGAGGCGCTTGATGTTGAGGAGGGGCCGGAGGTCGGTGAGTGAGTTGAAGTTGAGGTTTATGGAGCGGATGTTGGGGGTTAGCTGTCCGAAGTTGTCGGGGAGTTCTTTTAGGCCCATGGAGGCGAGTTCTAGGCGTTGCAGACTTAGTAGGTGTGAAGATATTTGCAGGCCGTAGGTTGGGTTGAGGGAGAGATAGAGGTTGCGGACTTCGGTGTTGCGGACTAGGTTGCTTGCGCACATTTCCATGTCGGATTCCGAGTTTAGGATCTGTTCGCGGGCGGAAAAGGTGCGGAGGTGGCGCAGATGTTCTAGTCCAGATACTTGCGTCAGGCAGTTGCCGTCGACGTAAAGCGATTCAAGCTTGGGGAAGTACTGGTCGACGTCGAGAAGTGTTGTTCCGTTTCGGCACATACGGAGCGAGCGCAAGAATCTGCATGGCTTCAGAGGCCCATCAAGAAGGGGAAACTCCTCGATTTCGTTGTCATCTTTTGAAAGTCAGTATTGGTCGGATGAGTATAGCAAGGAAAGACATACCAAGGTTGAGATGCTGAAGCTGGGGTAGGCAATGCAGGTTCCGCACTTCAAGCAAACGATTCTTGCGCATATCCAGGTCTGTGAGGGATTTTCTATCGCACGGATTAGCAGGGAACAAGGCATGTTCAAGTTCAAATACTTACAGATTCGTTCGGGTGAATTCAACCATGTCGATCTCGTTACCACGAACACTCAACTCCATCAGACCATCGAGGTGTAGGATGCCTTGGAGGGATTTGATCTTGTTGTTGTCGGCTTTGAGTATGCG